TAAATGATTCAATTTCATTACTACTAATTGGTCTGTTCAGGTTTTCTATTTCTTCCTGTTTCAGTCTTGGAAGACTGCATGTTTCTATGAATTTATCCATTTCCTTTAGTCTTGCAAGACTGCATGTTCCAAGAACTTTTATGAGTCTTTTATGATTCTTTGGGTTTCTGTGGTATTGGTTATAAGATCTCCTCTTTCATTTCTGATTTCATATATTTGGGTCCTCTTTTTTTCATGAGTGTGGCTTTAACTATGAAGACAGATTGTTAACAATTTTTGGTTCTTGAGGAGGTAGGCTTGATTGATACGAACTTTCATCTTAAAACTGCTTTTGCTGTGTCCCATAGATTTTGAAAAGTTGTGTTACCATTTTCATTTGACTCAAGATATTTTTTCATTTCCTCTCTGATTTCCTTGTTGACCCATTAGTTGCTTAATAGTATGTTGTTTAGTCTCCATGTGCTGTATTTTTCCAGTTTCCTTCCTGTAATTTATTTCTAAGTTCATACTGCTGCATTCAGAAAAGATGCCTGATATGATTTCAATCTTTTAAATTTACTGAGACTTGTTTTGTGGCCTAACATGTGATCTATTCTGGAAAATGTGCCATTCATTCTTTAATGTGTATTGTGCAGTTTTTGGATGAACTGTGCTGTATGTATCTATTAATTCAACATTAATTCAACATGACCTAATGTGTCATTCAAGGACAGTGCTTCCTGATTGATTTTCTGTCTGGATGAGCTATCTGTTGATATAAGTGGGATATTAAAGGCCCCTACTATTATTACCTTGCCATCAATTTCTCCCTTTAGGTCTGTTTATATTTGCTTTATATATTTAGGTGTTCCTATGTTGGGTACACAAATAATTACAAATGTTATGTCTTCTTCTTAGACTGGCACCTTGTCCCTTGTTACAGTCTTTGTTTAAAGTCTACTTTGTCTGAAATGACTATGGCTACCCCAGCTTTCTTTGTTTCCATTTGCATAAAATATCTTTGCCCATCTGTATACTTTCAGTGTGTGTGTGGCTTTAGATTTGAAATAGCTCTCTTGTAGGCAGCATACAGGTGCATCTTTTTTATCCAGTCACCATAGGTCTTTTCATTTGTGCATTTAAAGTAAGTATTGCTATTCTAATTGTTTTCTGGTTGTTCTTGTAGTTCTGTGTTCATGTCTTCTTCTCTTGGTCTCTCGCCTTGTGGTTTGATAATGTTTGATTTCCTTTCTCTTTATTTTTTGTTTCTATTGAAGTTTTTTTGATATGTGGTTACCGTGAGTTTCATACATATATATAGCTATTTGTTTTAAGCTGACAGTCGCTTAAGTCAAATTCATTCTAAAAAGCATTACATTTTTACTCCTTCTCCCATGTTTTATGTTTTGATGTAATATATACATCTATTTTGTGTATCCTTAACTTCTTATTGTAGTTATAACTTAATTTATTACTTATTTTAACCTTCATACTAGCTTTTGAAGTGGTTGATCCACTGCATTTGGCTTAAATTTGCCTTTACCAGTGAGATCTTTTTTTCATATATTTTCTTATTTCTAGTTATGGCCTTTTATGTTTAAGGAAGACCCTTTAGCATTTCTTGTAAGGCCAGTTTAGTGGTGATTAACTCCTTTAGTTTTTGCTTATCTGGGCAACTTTTATCTCTCCTTCAGTTCTAAATGATAAACCTTGCCAGGTAGAGTATTCTTGAGTTCTAAGTTTTTTTCTTTCAAAACTTTTAATTTTCAGTGCCTGCTGAAAAATCAGCTGACAGTCTTAATGTCAGTTCCCTTGGATGTAATTACAGTTGACCTTTGAACACCACGGGGGTTAGTTAACCTGCATATAATTTATAGTCAGCTCTCAGTATCCACGGTTCCTCCACATCCAGCGATTCAACCAACTATAGATCATGTAGTATTACAGTATTCACTACAGGAAAATATCTGCGTATAAGTGGACCATCAAAGTTCAAATCCACATTGTTCAAAGGTCAATAGTAGTTGTTTTTCTCTTGCTGCCTTTAAATTTTTCATAATCTTTCATTTTTGTCATTTTATTTATAATATGCCTTGGTATGGATCCCTTTGGATTCATCTCGTTTGGAATTGTATTTCCTGGACATGGATATCAGTTTCCTCTTCCAGGGTAAGAAAGTTTTCCACTATTATTCTATCAAATAAGTTTTCTCTCCCTTTCTCTTTCTCTTCCTTCAGGGAGGCAAATGTTAGTATGCTTTTTTCATTTCTGCTGTTCTGATTGGGTGATTTCCATTATTCTGCCTTCCAGATCACTGATCTGTTCTTCTAAATTTTCTAATCTGCTGTTGATTCTCTCTAGTGTATTTTTCATTTCAGTTACTGTGTTCTTCAGCTTTGATTGGTTCTTTCTTATATTTTCTCTTTGTTGACATTTTCACTGTATTCCTCCATTCTTCTCCCAAGTTAATGAGCATCTTTAGGACCATTAATTTTAACTCTTTTGTCAGGTAAATGACAGATCTCCATTTCATTAGGGTTTTCTTGGCCCCAACCTGTGGTTGTATGTTCTTCTTTCGTTTGGAACACATTCGTCTTCTCATTTTGCTTGATTTTCTGTTTGTTTCTACGAATTAGGTGAAATGGTTACCTCTCCTGGTCTTAAAGGTATAGCTTTGTGTAGAAGCATTCCTTGTGCAGACTTGATGTGCTGCACAGCTTCGGCAGGCCAGCTGGAGCTGGAGGGAGTGAAGGCTTGGGGGGCCTGGTATATACCACATTGGAGCCACCCTGGCTGGACAGCTGGAGCTGGAGTGGGCATAAGTCATGAGATCTCACAGTTTAACTTAATTCTTAAATGAAAGTAATAGTATAAGCCCAAGGCAGTAAAGTTATTACTTAGCAAAAGATTTTGAGAAAAGAGCTGGATGCTTGAGTTTTGCTTTTGTTTTATTCCTGATGATTTTAAATTCTATAGTAGTCCACAGTGTGACTGAGCTGGCAAAGAAACTAATACAGTCCTGGAATGCATTAGCTGGTGCATAATATTCAGGTTAAAAGCATTAAGTGTCTCAGTAAGCTTTGTACTGATCACATTAAAACTTAATTATAGTATATTCATTTGCAGATACCATAATTTCAGAGAGAAAGGAACAAACAGACAATAGTTCAGGGGGAAAAAAAGGGTAAGAATGCTGAAGATGGAATAAGGGTACCACATGAAATAAAACAAGACATCAATCAAGCCTGGAGGAGAAAAGACTGACTGGTTGGTGAGATGGAATGTAAAGATGAGACACACGACACAGCTTTCAAAAATAAAGAACCACATAGAAGAGGTATTAAAAACTGCTCTTTATAGCATTTTGGAGTAGAAACAGGCTGGTGTGTAGAAGCTGTAGACAGGAAAACAACAGCTGGTTCAGTAGAATAAAGAACTTCCTGATAGTCTGAGACAAAGATGTATGGTTTATTTCATGAGTTAACAGGTTCCCCACAAGTACAGGTGAGTGAGCAAAGGATGGAGAAATGATGGGTAGAAATTTTATAAAAAGATCAATGCATCAGAAAGATAACTAAACCATCAGACCCTCCAGTTCTCTCCAATCTTGAAAGAATTAATTTCTCTTAGGACTTGAGTATCAAGGGCAATATGTATTTTATTATGTTATTACTCTTTCTTTAATAGAAGATTAAACATACTATTTGCACAGTGCTGGCATCAGATACTATTTACTAAGCAAATATATAAACACAGACTCTTAACTCCTCCAAATTTAAATATCTAGACTGAAAATTCCACTCATGACAAATACTACAAAAGGATTTCAACACACAATGATAAAAAGCAAAAAAGCAATGTAACTTTAAGACTGAGATGTCATGAATAAATATTTACCAGTTTTCATACAATAAAAAACTGCATTTCTATATTTTTGGATTTTGGTGCATCATTAAGTTGGAAAGACTAATTATTTAGTCCAAGAAAATGTACTTGAAAAGATTAAATATTAAAAGAATGTTCAAGAAGAGATTAAAGGTAGTTTAAAGAACAAGAAGTTAATACACCCTTCCTACTATTATTGGTTTATTTTAAGCACAGCTTATATTATAGACTTAAATAATTTATCTTCAGAAAATTTATGCAATAAATGTATTTAAACAATCTTTCGAAAAACTTTGTGGCTTATGTATGAACAGACATTGAGTCTTTTACTAAACTGCTAAAAGCTTACAAGGAAAGATCAATGGTCAGTAAACTTTCTGTAGAGGTCCAAATGGTAAATAATTTAGGCTTTACAGGCCCATAAGTCTCTACTGTAACTACTCTACAGTAGTAGTACAAATAGTCACAGTCACTACATTAAAAATCAGTGTATTTATGAGGACTGAAATTTGAATTTCACATTATTTTCACATGTCACAAAATCATCATATTTTCCCAACCATTTAAATATATAAAAATCATTCTTAGGTCATGGGATGTACAAAAACAAGTGATGGACAAGATGTAGTGCACAGGTCATAACTGCCTGACCCCTGGGACAGACAGTCCTTATCTTATCAACATCTAAATGAGATATGATCCATACAACCTCTGACCAACTTCTGTTCTTCCAATCCTCCACTCCCAAAGCTGAAACCCTTATAGTGGTTGCCATAATAGATATAGTGAAAACACTTGGCACTTTTTAAAAAAACAAAAAAGAAACACACAAATACTCAGTAACAATAATAAAACTACTTCCAAGAGTCCTGTAAAGGATGGTAAAGCTGACATTGGAAGATGACCTTGGAGGAAGCCTCCTAGATCTGACTACACTGTGGCTCAGATTCTAACACACTAAGACTTTCTACATCATTTTGATAAATAATATTAAAGATGATTAAGCATCTTTTCCTTAAATACGTACAGAAAGGTAGAGAATTATGATCCATTTAAACTTTTAACATCTGTTAGGTCAAGCAGTTTGGTTTTTAGTTCTGACTAAACAGAGAGCAGCAATAATAGATGAACAGAACATTTAACTTATAACTTGGAAGAGTGGAGAGGAAAGCCATTTACAAACGTATCTGAAACCTTTCTGAGAGTATTTCTGGAACACAATTCATTTGAAAAGTGGAAACTACATG